CGTCTTCTTCATATTGTTGTTCATTATGCTATCATTAAGTTGATTTTGTTGCCGCGCGTGAAACTTACTAGGAATGCAATACAGATTAATTGAGTTATTGACTGATGGTGATATTACAAACAATCCTCAAGAAGGCAGTAAAAAAAATTGCTTTGTTTAATAGCAACTAGGAATCATCATCAAAGTGCACAAATTTTATCTATAGTCAGATTTTTTGATACCAGTGTTGCTGCCTATTTTCTTATTATTTATGGATTATTAACATGATTTAGAAACTGAAAGGTGATGTTACGTTTACTGATAAGAAAAGAAAGGCGCTCTTATACTTTAAAAAAACACATTTACATACTAATTGGAAATGTTAGATGATATGTCCACTTGTATTAGTAGAATATTAGTAGAGACTGTCTTGATCAAGTATCATAACATTTTCATGTATTTGATTGTCTTTGGGCTTGAAGAAATTGGATTTGAAAAATTGACCCTAGTATTATTAATTTATTATTTAGATAGGTAATGCATTCTTAAATGGAAATGAAAGATATGTTGACATGTTGCCTAGTGTAAACCCTAGGAGGTTATCAAACATAGAAATTATGAACTTTTTTAACTTCTTAAGAGGTTATTAAACACAGAAACTAGGAACTTCTTTAACTTCTCAGGAGGTTATCAAACAAAGAAACCATGAACTTCTTACAGTAACTTCTATCTTCCCATATCTTATATTGTGTTAAGACTTCTATCTTAATTAGATTTAGAAGTCTTATAAATATAAGTCTCTCAAGCTAGATTTTATTATATTCACTTGCCCCTCTCAACCTCAACAAGGTGTGTTTCCTTTCTCTCTCTCTCTCTTTGTTTATGTTTTTCTCTCTCCCTTTCTCTCTTTATACCTCAGTTTCATAAATTTATTAATTTATGCCCATTACAGAAGTTATTCTTTATTACATTATTTTCACTTTCTTGAGTCCTACCGGCAGTGGTTAAGTAGGTTATTTATCATCACAAAGAGAAAGGTAGTTGCATCAACTTACCTCTATAGTAACACTTATATTTTTATGTGATTTTATTTTCTCATTGTTTATGGTTTTTGTGCACAACAACAACAACAAATTTCCATAAGCAAGCAAGGCTAAGAGTTAGACATCCAAAGCCTTGGTCGACATCTCTTAAATCAGTTAAAAGCAACTTGAGAGATACCCAACCCACCGCTACAAAACACTAATCGGTATGCCATTCTTAATTTCCCTTCATTCTCTCTTAATTTCCCTAATATTTATACCAAGCCATTCTTAATTTCCCTTTATTCTCTCTTAATTTCCCTAATATTTACATACGTAAAATGAACATTTTATAGGAAAAATTTATGCAAAATTTTTTTAGGTAATGAATTACATGTTTAGTAATGGAACCGGAGATTCGTTACGGAACCAAAAATTCTAATCATTATGTAATGGATTATGTTTGGTAAAAAAATTATTAGTATTATAATATTTATATTTTTTGTCTTAAAGATAGGAATATTATCTAAAACAATTTTGTTAGTAATTATCTTATAATATAATAAATATAAATCATATATAATAATATAATATTATTATATATAATATATTTAAAATAATAAATTATATATATATACGTATATAATATAAAAAAATGTATTATATATATTTTATTAATGTATATTTGTATTATATATAACATATAATAAATTTTTTCTAGTATAATAAATATTATTATATTATATATAATAAATAAATATAGTATATATTTATTATAATAAATATATATTATATGTAATATAATATTACCTTGTTGGAAAAAAAATTTCTAAACTTTTTTCTTTTTAACTTCCAAATTTTTTCTCCAAGTAAAAAATCCACGAGATATTTGATACCCTAATATAAGAACTGCAAAAATAGGTTAGGGAGAGGAATTAGTTTTTTTTTTCTTTTTTTAATAAATATATGATATGAAATTATCAATAGAGATAAAAACATCTCCCATCATCCAACCTTGCTTATTTTATTGACAAGTGTCATTTCTTCAATTTTATTATCTATTTTTTTATTATTTATGAGATATGCATGTAAACACCTCTTTTTATGTCCTCTCACTTTCTCGCCATATTTGAAAGCACGTTTGATATACATGTCAATTTTTATGGCCTAACTCTCCATATTTAAAACTCTAATAGATATGTATGCAGTTTTTTTTGGGATGATCCCACATTAGATATATATAAGCAAGTTCTTCTTTTTATGGCCTCTCTCTCTTCCCAGTTACAATGTAGCGTTTCCCTTTTTCTTTTTCAGTGACCTTAACCTTTCTCTCTCTTTCTATGCGGTGTGTCGCCCTTTGTCTTTCAACTTGGTTTTTCTCTCTCTCAACCTGGTGTATCTCTTTCCTTACAGTAAAGGTAAATGGTCTCCTTGTATACAATCATAATTAGATAAAGTTTTATTCTCAACTCCAAACGTAACTGATCTAAACTTCGTGACAACCTTCTCGGGAAATGCATGGGTGGGCAATTTTTTCAGAAAAATATAATTTAAACTGTTGAAGTTGCTTCTTACAAAATTATTGAGGGGATCACATGGTCTAAATTAACATTTGAAGGGTTGCATTTTATTTTTCATTTGTTTGTTTAGGGTTGAGAAGCCTCAATAATTACGAGCATTTCAATAATTTTATCCCTAGAGATCAGAATTGAAAGACAAAAATATAGTGTCTGTTTAGAATTACAAATAAGGATGTTCAGGCTCTTAAAGAGGAACAACTAAAGGTATTTATGTTATTTGATACATGCAAGGTATTTGGGTACCAAAACAACAATAATTCCCATAGTTGTGCCTCAACATTAACATGACAAGTCATGTTCTATTTGTGTTTAGAGCGGTCCAAAAGTTGAGAATTTGAACTGCCTGGATGCTTAATTCATTTTGTGTTACACGTAATTCAAAATTTGGACTTTCAAAATTAATTTTTTTTTGTCTAACAATAAAAAATTTAGACTTTAGAACTACCCAAATACAAAAGCAATAAAAATAAAAACTCAAAAATTTTGAACTTCACCGTGAGATGTCCAAAATACAGATAATTTTTTAATACTGAAATAATGGGTTCCTATGTAAATTTCACTTCAAAATAGTTATATATTCTTAAAATTTCATACGCATTTCATTGAGCATCAAGATGTACAATTTCATGTCCAAATCAAGAACTTTCCATTACACAATGGAAAGAGAAACAGTAGTACAACACGAGAGAGATCTAAGAACTTTTCAGATAGAGAAAGAAAACGAGAGAGATCTAAGAACTTTTCAGATCAACAAATAGGTAGAGGAGCACCATCCCATCCATGCAAACACTCCAGTAAAGGGTCAATGAGCTTCCCCTTGTTAATCGCTATGGAAACTTTATTGAACTCTTCCCCTGGAGACACAGTCCTCTCTCCCGATAGAAACCCAACCTCAAGCTCTGATCTCACAAATCGATACAATGGGTATGATCTGCACTCTCTAATTCTGTTTGGGATCATTGAATTTCCTTTCTCAATTGCCTCTCTAGTTAATTCAACCTCTTTAGGCAGATGGTTCTTCAACTCAAGCTCAAAATCCTCAATCTTCTGCAAAACCAAGATCCCAACTTCCTTCTTTGCAGCCATCACTCTTCCAAACAGCACACCTCTAAGCTTTTGTATCAATGGATAGTTTGGATTGCAAGGGTCATCTATATATGAAAACGCATACTCAGCCTCCACCACTCTAAGCAACTCTTCACAGAGGTTTGAGCCCGAGAGCTCGCCTTCAATGGTCGCATCTAGCACCTGTCGAGCCACTCGGCTCACGGCTCGGTTCACTGCACCCTGCAAGTTCTCTTCTATGTGCCTCAGGTCAATAGCTTGGCATAAGGCTACAAGGTAAGTAGAGGACATGAGCTTTAGTATTTCTACGGCTTCATTTGTCTTCCTAGCTGATATGAGCCCAAGAGAGTTAACATCCTGGTTATGTTGTTCGGCGCTCTGGACATGGTTCGTCACCGGATTCGCCAAGAATCCGAGCTCCGACATGTACGAAGCCATAGCTACTTCAGCACCTTTGAACCCAAAATCCAAGCTTGGGTTTGGACCCCCACTAAGGTTTGAGGGCAAACCATTGTTGTAGAAATCATTAACAAGCTCAGTGAACTGAGCAAACATGAGCTTGCCAATGGCTGCAAGGGCTAGCCTTGTGTTATCCATGGCTACCCCAATGGCTGTTCCTTGAAAATTTCCCCCTTGGATGGTCTTGTTCCTTGAGACATCAATCAATGGATTGTCATTCACAGAGTTGATCTCCTTCTGTATTGTCTCAGTAGCAGCTCTAATCACCTCAATCTGGGGACCAAGCCATTGAGGAGAGGTAACCATTGCATATCTATCTTTCTTAGGCTTTTGCGAGGGACTGGTTCCATGGAATTTGGCCACTCGGTTCATGTAAGAGCTCCCAGCTAGTATGTGCTCCATGATCGCTCCGGCCTCTATCTGACCAGGGTGGTGCTTGAGCTTATGGACGAGGTGGTCACAAAACTCGGGTTTTCCACCCATCGCCTCACAGAAAATGGCCGACAGCACTTCAGAGAGGACGGCAAGGATGTTTGCGTCGAAGAGGACCAGCGAAGCTAGTCCGGCGCCGACTGATGTCCCATTCACTAGAGCAACCCCCTCCTTGGGTCCAAGCTCAAAGGGACCATCACTCGTATTGGCCATCTCAAGAGCTTGCTTGGCCCCCACTATAGACCCATCAGGCGCTATGGCTTGCGCATTGGGGCGACAAATGAGTACCCCGGCGATGTACGAGAGGGGCACCAGGTCCCCCGATGCAGTGATGGTGCCCCTAAGAGGGACCAGAGGTGTGACACCAGAGTTAAGGAGAGCCACGAGAGCTCGCAAGATCTTCCATCGAATGCCCGAGTAGCCCTTCATGAGGGTGTTGGTGTGCACGATCATCGCCGCTCGAGTGGCCGAGACTGGCAATGCGGGGTTGTCGGCGTTGATGATACCTGCATTCAGGAAGCGGATGAGCTCGCGCTGTAAAGAATCTGCTTGATTGGTGCGGCGGTGAGAGCTGGCACCGAACCCTGTAGTGACCCCATAGGTGTCAGCACCCTTGGTGGAGCTCTCAGTGATCCATTGGCAACTGGCTGAGACATTGGACATGGACTCGGAGGAGAGGTCGACCCGGGGGCCAGAATTCGGGGCACCAGAGGAGACTGCAGCAACATGGGCGATAGAAAGGTCGGTGCCGGAGAGGGATATGGTCCGGCACCGGAATTCATCAACGAGTTTCTTGACCAGACTAAGGTGGCTGCCTTCGGCGAAGCTGCCCCAGTTCAGGGGATCAGTTGAAACAGATTTCATGGCTGAAATTGTTGGGAAGACGTGGGATCTTCTCTCCCTCTCATTCATGCACCCAAATTTATACTATTTTTCAAAGCTTTAAATTTTACAGTTTGAGATACAAAGGCTATTATTATAAATATTTTTAATATCGAAATCACATTTCTCAACAATTATAGGCGTCGGATTGTAAACATGTTATGGATCTATTGACACGTGTAAAGGGTAGGTGGAGGACTTTGATATGGGGAGTCAATTGTGAGGGCTGCCCAATTGTCAAGTGGTTTGGTAAGAGGTGACGTATGAAAACCCAAGCTTTAGCCTTCTTGATGACTTTGTTTCCATAAAATTCCAACTTTCAACAATCCAGTTACGATGTACCTTCAAATTTTATCATAATATATAATTTTGATGTAATTTATTTTTAAGATTATTTTAAAACCTATTTTTATATCTATTTATAAAATTTAAAATTAAAAAAATAATTAAAATCAAGTAGATCTATAAGTATATGAAAATCTTGAAAATTGACCGTCTAGATAATGTGTTGTAAGATGCGCTATTTTTAAGACTCAAAATCTTTTTTTTTTGCATAGTCACTCATATCGATGTCGAGATGATTAATTAGAGTGTTTTTCAATATTATAACAACCTTTTCTGATGGATTTTTGAGGTGCATCCATAGTTCTACATTTTAAGATTGCAACGTTATATAAACTTTTCCTTTTCTTGTATCCTCGTTTATTTAATAGTGGTGCCTTTGTTTGGCCTTCAATGTCTGGTTGAGGTATTTACCATTATTATTATTATTATTATTATTATTATTATTATTCTGAGTCGAGTAAGTGGGGAGAGGCCCCTACTTTTAGTAGAAATTGAGCCTAGGACATAACGTTGCAAATAGTTTTACATTAGAGAAATCAAAATATATCTCTTTATATTCATAATTACGGTGGCCTAGATCATTATTTCAAAATTCCTTGATATGGACCCAGTAACTTGTTCGAGTTTAAAAAATAAAAATTCAACACATAAATCAACATAAATCATAATGTTTTTCGTACTCTTTGGATTTGAAGACCCCTTCAACACATAAATCATAATGTTTTTCGCACTCTTTGGATTTGAAGACCCCTTCAACACATAAATCATAATGTTTTTCGCACTCTTTGGATTTGAAGACCCCTTCAACACATTAATCATAATGTTTTTCGCACTCTTTGGATTTGAAGACCCCTTCAACACATAAATCATAATGTTTTTCCCCTTCAACACAATAATCATAATGTTTTTCGCACTCTTTGGATTTGAAGACCCCTTCAACACATAAATCATAATGTTTTTCGCACTCTTTGGATTTGAAGACCCCTTCAAACACATAAATCATAATGTTTTTTGCACTCTTTGGATTTGAAGACCCCCATTGAGGTCTCAAGATCTAGTCCTTCTTTCTCGACCTTTTTTGTCTAGCCCTTTCTTAATGGAAAGATTCGAACACTCACCACATTGGACAGCAAGCTTGCATGCTGCCCAACGCGCCACTTGAATGTATTCTACATTCTATAAAAATTGGAACATTATTATATATAGGGTGTAGTTCGCATACAGATGCATATGTAGGTATAGAGATATGGTTTAACTGATACACACCTTCCATACATTTCGATGGCCATGATCGCATAGTAATTAAAAGGGCAAAACGGGTGATTTTCGGTAGCCAGTTTTGCTTCCCTCAGCTCGTCCCTCTGCCACACCAGGCTTGAGACTAGACGGGAAGAAGAGGAATTTAGAGAGAGAAAGAGGGGATCATTGATTAAGAGATAAGGAAGTGATGTTTAGGAATTTAGAGAGAAAAAAAGGGGAGAGTTGCGGTAAGTAGAGAGATAAGATGAAAAAAAGTTTAGATGGGAGGCTTTGGAGCCACGGGAGGAAGAGGAATTTAGAGAGAGAAATAGGAGAGAGTTGGGGTGAGTAGAAAAAGAAAAGGAAGATTGGAGGCTTCGGAGTTATAGGGTGTGCTTGAGCTGCAAGTTATTGAAGTTCAAAACCTTCATCAAAGTTCCCAGGCAACATTTCCAGGTCAAGATGCATCCAATTGATTTTAGCATGACGATCCTTTGTAGATCCACCCTAATGCCCATTTCAAACAAAAAGATAACGATTTCAGTGAGGTTTTTACATCGAGACCTCATGTTATTGAACCCTAAATCACCCATCCGCCTTTCTTTAATTTTCTCTCTCAAATCAGAACTAAATAATCGAATAATTGATTCAAATCGTTCATATTTCATCCATTTAGAAAAACCCTAAGGTGATTTTCGGATCAATTGAAAAATTTGTGGAAATTGATGGACAAATTTTTCCGTATATATATATATATATATATACATATCCAAAAACCATCACCCTACTTTCAGCATTGCATAGCAAGCATATTTTGGGCATTCTATAGGGCACCCGTGTGGGCAATCGCTTTAAATTTCACCCATTTGTAATAATTTTCACAAATTTAATACAATGTTAACCCTCAGAAAAAAAAAAATGGTCATCCAATTTTATTTTATTTTTTAATTAAAGAAGTTTTCTATTTGGTGTGAATCTTTTTTGTTTAACCTGAGTTTGCTTTTTTAAGTATTAATTACTGGTGAGGCAAAAAACCAAGGTGAGGCTAAAAGCCAATGGTTGAACTATCCTGAAGTTGTTGATAGATTGATAAGTGTATACACTCTTAAATCCGCTTGATTTGGGGATGGCTTTTGAAGTATGAGACAACTCTGTATTGATTGAGAAGTGTATACACTCTTAAATCAACTCAATTTGGGGATGGCTTTGGTTGAATTTGAGAAGTGTATACCCTCGTAAATCTGCTCAATTTAGGGATGGCTTTTGCTGTGAGATAATTTTGTATTGATGTGAATGTAGTTATGATTTGGGGATGGCTTTTGTTGTACAAGACAAATTGAAGCTTTTGCTTACTCATTGAATCAACATAATTTGGGACTTACTCATTGAATCAACACAATTTGGAGATGGCTTTTGCTGTATGAGACAATTGTGAATCTAGGCTAATATTTATGGCTCAATTTGGAGATGGCTTTTGTTGTATGACACGTATTGATGCGAATGTAGTACCATGTGGCTCAATTTCATGTTAATATTTATGACTCATGTAGTACCATGTGGCTTTGTTTGACTTCGAAATAACTTGTTTTATTCTTTTCTTATTGATGGATGGTTTATGTAACTTTCAATTGGCTAACTGCATGACTCTTTGTCAATCCCATTTTCATTTATGCTTACTATCATTGCCTGTTTGATCTCTTGTTTTTGAGGATTTGAGGTACCGAATTTGAGGTACTTTGTAGCTTCCACCTAGGCCCTCAGATAAATTGATTTTTACTTTGGTTCTATAAGTTGAGTTAAGCAAAATGTTACCGTTATTCATGATCTGGATTTCTTCGTTTATGTATAAATTGGTGGTTGGGAACCACAAAACCACTTGCTTGCATTTAAACTTTGATTCAGTAGTTTGATTATGAATGTTTTGAGGGCTATTTCCTCTATAATATGACTCCCAGAAAATAAAAACTTGATTTGTTGTTCAAAAAATATCATGTTCTTTTTCATTCTATGATTAAATTGTTTCAAATGACCTTCAATTCTAGTTATTTCCTCACATAAGATCCTTGATACTAGTCAACTAAGCCAATGTAACTGCTGAAAAACATTGTGGCCTTAATTCCATTGAAAAAATTATGGGTGTCAGTTCATTCTTAATTTTCTTATAATGGTTTCAATTCATTCACTATTTGTTATGATCATGAATTCTTCATACGACATCCTTTATTATTATTAATTTACACGGTTCATGTCTTAATCGAATATTTCATCCAATACTGTAAAGTACAGTATAAACTTAAAAAATATTGTGTACCGCAGTCCATTTGGGTCATGACCATCTGATAAAATGATGCCTGTTGACAAAGAGATGGAGAGAGATTAGGATGCAGCTTTGGGCTCATATCCTGTTCTTGCAAGTTTGTCTCTCCATCAGCTTCCATCATTTAATTGGACGTGCATGATTCTAATGGCTAGTCTTATAATAAGTATTTCTTCTAATTATTCATTTTTTGAAAATAATTGATTGCTATTTTTTATACTGATTACCATTTTTGGTTGATGTTGCTTATTGCACAATGATTTCAAAGTTGACATGAATTATTAAATTTTGTTCATCCTTCAACTGTAGATTGAGGGGCTGCAAAGATACCCAAAATATAGAACCCGGGTTGAGAGTCATATATACAATAACATGTGGGATGCTTTACGCAGTATAGTGCAAGCAGAGGGTTGGGCAGGTCTTTACAAAGGCATCGTCCCTTCTATTTTCAAGGCAGCCCTAGCAGGGGCGGTCACTTTTGTGGCTTACGAATACACATCAGATTGGTTAGAGTCCATTTTGACATGATATTGCTCTGATTCTTTTGCCATCTCATTCTTTTTTCTTATAACGCAAATCTCCAATCTTCACATTCATTGCCGCGTAAGCCTTTGTTCTATTTCTCACTTAACGTGAGAGCCATTTTTGAGGAGTAAGGTTCCCCCTCATTTTGACATGTTAGTGAGAAAATTGCATATGTAATTTTGTATTTGGAGCACCGATCCATGAGAGAAGCTTCTAGAAGATCCATGAAGACTCTCCAACCACAAAAATGTGGGATCTTTTGTTGCGGCTCGTGCCTGGGCACGAGAGAAAGAGAGAGAGAGAGAGAGAGATTTTGACCAGAAGGAAGTGCAATAGTTCTTTGTATAACATCTTTAATTGGTATTTATTCATATTTCTCTTGAGTGACGTTATTTCCATGCTTTTAGCAGATTTATTGTTATATTAGCTCTTCATCCCAGTCAATATTTTTGGATTGATGTTGGTGTACAAGAACAATGATTTAGGGAATTGAGCGATACCTCGTGCTCCAAACCGTTGTCGTAAGAAACATGGGTTTGGGCGGGGGAATCAGTCAAATTGAACGACTGACCTGACCTAGGTCTCAGTCTGGACCAAGCCCGTTG